ACTGAATGTATCTTCTAGTACTTGGGTTAAGGGTTGAATTTCACTAAATTTAAAATTAGATAACTAGATAAAGTTTAATTAAACTATAATTATTTTCATACCGGGTTGCATTTTACTAATTTAATTTAATTGTGTTTATTTAAATTGTAGTCAAATTTAGATGAATTTAATTAAATTGTAATTAATTTGCTTTCCTATATATAGATTCCGATTGCATTTTCTGGTGTACTCTATGTTTCTCTTATGATAGTATGATTATTCCTTTATTAATATTATAACTTTACTTTATAGTCCTTCAATAAGGATAGTTTCCCTGCCCAACGTGTGTCTTTTGATAAAGCCTTCGTTTATTTATTCACCAATGTTCGTCACGTATCTATCCAATTGTGCTGAGATGGCGCTATGGCTATTCACACGAGTAAATAAATAACAATTCAACATGGCTGTAAGGTTGACTTCAGTATTCAAACTGTACCTACGAATACTTGTAAATATTATTAATCATTGCTGAAGTGTATGTCTATCAGTACTACTATATATCATTTATTTATGACTAATATAAACTGAACAATAGTTGTTGTGAAATAGCAACTTTTGGAAGCAGTAATCTATGCATTCCAGCAGTAGATTCTTTCGAAGATACTTTGGAAACTGAATAATGTGACTAGATATACTCGCATGTCTTTTCGTATCGCAAGTATGTGGAACGTATGACCGGTGTTCATTCTGACACATGGTTTTCGTGATAGTTTACCCTTTTTACTTGGTTCGTGGATGAAGGTGACCAATTAGAGGTCACCATGTTTGTATGAAGTCAACAACTACAAAACGTAAGTAAATATCACAAAACTTGTAATGATCTTGGTTGACATTTACGGTAGGAGACCGTCGATTGTTATCCTGGGTGACATTTAGTAGTGATGAAGCTGGCAGTGAAATTGATTACCATCACCAAACGGTCAACCGGCACGTGTTAATTAGTGTACAGGTCTGTGTGTAACGTTACGGTCAAAACAACACGGAACTCTACTGTTCTTCGTTTCCATTGTGACATTATTGATATCCATGTACTTTGATTGAGTTGAATACTTATGTTAGTAACCGGGATACGAGTTGCATGAACAGGTCAATCGAATTATTTCTGAGCATGCAATGACATCACAAACGTAATAGGTCCACTTATTAAAACCATGACTGAGTGTGTTATTAAAAAAGGCAAAACTGCTGAGACGAACACTAACCGACTCGCTCAATGTTGAAAGAGTTAAATGCCATTTTAGCATATTTGACCAAATGCATGCAATAACACAATCTTAATTTAACTAAAGTGCCAACAATATCAGGAAAGACCTTTCCATGTATCTCACCTTACTCTAACTCAAACCCTAACCCTATCTGCCTATTATTTCATCCACATTATTAGAATGAGTATACTGACAACTACAAATTAATACTACAATTATAACAAAATCAATAATATTAATAATATACAAACTAAGTCCATTAATGCAATATCACTTATATTAAACAACCCATATGTCGAATCGTGTGACTGTAGAGTTGTTAATGAGATTCATCGCGTGTAAAATAAATTGTACATGTATGAAATTATGATAATAAAATGGCTAAAAGACTATAATAAATACAAAAGCTGAAATAAGTGTAATAAAGTGTATAGTAAACAAAAGACAAATCTAATACAAAACAATAAAACAATGAAATACAGTAATGGGCTCAAATAAATATAATAAAAGCTAGTTGACTGAATATACAAGTAAGAACAGATATAAGATAAAAATAAGACTATAATAAAGCTAAAATAAATGTAACCCCCTTCATTCATATGTGAAGTGATTATTTATTTATTTAATAATGTAATCAATACTATATATTCATTTTGTAGTGAAGTAAGTAAAAAAGCATTCATTTCATAATAATGTAATCGTTACAATATGCTTACCAATTTCGTATGTAATAATTATTACGTATTTATTTCATGGTGCAATCGTTTCAAAGTACTATCTATTTCATAATAATGTAATCGTTACAAGGTACGTATTAATTTTATAATGAAATATACGTATTCATTACATGATAGTGCAATCAATTCAACGTTTGTATGCATTATAATGGTGTAATCCTAACTAGATAAGTATGTATTTCATAGTGTAATCGCTACAAGGTACGTATTAATTTCATAATGCTGTAATACTTACAATGTACATATTCGTTTCATAACAAGCTACATAATTGCTGCCCCTTTGGGATGACATAATAATAACTTCAGACGAGGTTTCGGATTTGCTTTTGTGTGTTTGCGACAAATGTGATTTTGTGCGTCAATAGAAAAGGTGTTTTCCCACGTATTTTTCCAATCCCTAGGTGGAGTCTGCCAATTTTAGTGTATTAAAACCTATTACTAAAAAGTATTCCCACTGTTTATTCGTATTCTATCAGTCCATTTGTTTAGCAACTCTATATAGAAAGTGGCATGTTAAAAACAAGAGCTGTCGGTAAAAAGTTATGTTTGAATAAGTGCTCCTCGCACTGATCAAAAGTAGAAATCTAAGTTGGTTTTTATTTCTATGGATGTTAATTATCAGACATACTATTTGACACATGTTATTATGTTAAATTGATCCGATTTTGTCACATTGGTATATTAGCTTAATTGCTACAAAGTTACAACCTTCCTGGTCTTTAAAACATATAAGATAAATTATGTTTCGTATTCATTTTTAACGACCCAAATGTGTATTAATTTAATGTGGTCACAGCGAGAACAACGCCCTACTGCATTGAAAACACTGGAAAAGCATTTCCGCATGCATGTTGTGAATCACGATTTTTATTTGGCATATAGCAACAACATTATAACCAAATATGTTGCGCTCTTTTGGAGCACTATTGGGTAAAATGCTTTTCGAACCCTGGCCAGAAAGGCACGCCCAAATATTTTTAATTTCACCCTCCGGTTCTGGTTCCAGGTTTTTTAGACAACCCTTATT